AGGTTTTCAATAGAAGTACATTGTTAGGTAGAACAGGTTTTCAATAGAAGTACATTGTTAGGTAGAACAGGTTTTCAATAGAAGTACATTGTTAGGTAGAACAGGTTTTCAATAGAAGTACATTGTTAGGTAGAACAAGTTTTCAATAGAAGTACATTGTTAAGTAGAACAGTTTCTTACTATAAGTATGTTGTAAGAATATTTTTTTTTTTTACTTTTGCTTTAATCATACACCGTATCCATTCATAATGATTACTTTTGCTTTTTTAGTGACACCTGATCCATTCAGTGCTGGAGGTGCCAATCAAGTTTCATCTGGTTCTGATTTAAAGGTTAGCAAGGTATTAAAAAGTACACTGTCATTTTAACTTTTGTTAAATCTTGTATTTCAGTTGTGAAAAGGCATCTGTATATCAGCAGTACTTTTAAATTCTGCATGCCTAAGTTACATTTTTGTTTCCACATCAAGTCTAAGTGTTGCCTATTGGTCAGTGCATTAGATTGGGGCTCATGGTGCCACTAATTACGTATCATGCTTTTAGTCGTGAATGTGTTATAAGAATAACAGCCAAACCTACTATTTCATTATGAATATCTGCTTCAGGTGATAAATACTGCTTACTTGTTAGTTGCCTTCGTTTGATTGTCAGTTCAAATTTATGGATGACTGTGCTTGATTCATAGATGTCTATGACCTGGCCATTTATCCTATTTTGTGTATAAAATGTGCAGTCAGTTAAGTAGGCTTCCACATGAAAGATATACGTTGTCATAACAGACTTATTTTTTGATTCATCATACAAAAGACCTTTACAGATGTGGGAGAATTGGTGGTTAGTCAAAATAGGTGTTTTCCATATCAGTAGGTGAGATCCATATAAACTAAAAATTTAAAACTTGGCTTAAACTTTAAAAATTTAACAATATTGAGAAAACATGAATGAATACAGAGAGCCACAAAATTCTAAGTTATAAAACCAAAAAGCCTAATTCACAATAAAAATTTTATGTTTAATTGGCAATTTCAGATAGCTTTAAAAATATAAGCCAGTGATGGTGGCTGGATATTTGGCATTTATCTTAATGTATTCTTTTTGAAATACTTTTTGCCCCTAGTCTTCTTGTATTTAATATTTAACTGTTCAGAGCGATCAAAATAGCCATAAATAAGTTAAACTATGGAACTACCAAACCAGTTAATATAAAGTATTAATACTGTTTTATCAACTAATACTAAATTTTAACATAATTTGTAAGTTAGACATTATATAACCAATATAAATTTAACAATTAGTTTACTAAATTGTATAAAAACAAGTTACAAAATAAATAAAAATGCATAGATGGGTTTTTTTGTTCTACATTCCTGTTAATTTGTCCATTGCAGCTTGAAACCAGAGATGTGTAAAACAAATAGCATTTCAAATCTGGTTTTTTTTGTTTCCCACAAGTCACTGCCCAATAAACTTTTTGTTGGGGCTAGACAGTGAAAAAAGATAGATCTGAAATTATATTTTTTTTTGCATACATCTGATTTTGAGCTGCAATGGAAAAGTTAAGAGGAATGAGGAAAAAAAAAACATCTACACTTAACTTGTGTTTATAACAGTTTTAGGCCTGTTGGTTTTTCCAATGTTTTGCCAGCTTTTGGTGTTTAAACTATAACTAAATTATAATTTTGATATAATGTATGAAAAATTGTGTTCACCTATGTGCAATGAAGAAAGTGCAATATCTACAGAATTGGATATTTGTCATTAAAAGCCAACTTTCTCAAATTGACTTGACTATACTACGAGCTTCCAACCACCCTGTTAAAAGCCTTACCTTTCTTTATTGGATAAGTGTGTGTTGAAACACAGTATGAAAGCAAATGTTTGTAACACAGTCAATATTTTTAGTTTTGTAAGAAATTGCATCAAAATTCAAATGATGACAAAACACGAAAAACACATGCCAATCAGTGATTGCCTTACCGGCCTACGTTGATCTGACTCATTTTATAAGCTGTACTATTTCCTATAGACCATTTTCCAGATGGTTCTGCTATGATTAGTGTCTGGCGAAAAAGCTTCAGCAGATATTTCCTTTGCAACATCTCAACCAACAATTGGTCCTGTTATCAACGCTATTTTCATGTTTTGAACAACTCGACTTTCAAGATCTACGTATCTACATGTGCCGATGTTTCCATTTACCAACGTTATATTTTACGATCTGTGCAAGAACTCAGCTAACATATGTTTTTGCATATAAAAGCTATCTTCAAGTTTTGTACACCAAAAAACTTTTCAAGAAAAATGAATATTTTAAAAGTTTATTTAAACCCCTGCCATGCTTAAGGTATATAAGACCAAGGTTTTTGAACTCCAGTTCCAATGACACAAACAGATGAGAATGGTGATCCATTCCTCTCTGGATGGGATGCCAGTCCATTGCAGATTAACCCCCAGCTGGCAGCAGGTACTTGTCATATATCTGGGTAGGTGGGAACAAGTGGGATAAAGTGTCTCACTCGGGGACAAAACAGCACAACGCGGGCCAACCTCAAACTCAATAACCATCTGATTATGAGCCCAAAATGCAAAGTCATTGAGCCATACTGCCCCATAAAGTTAAACACCAAGAAAGAATAGTACAACACATGAATAATGTTTTTCTTTGCTTTTCAGGACTGAAATAATATAAACAAGGTATTTGACAGTTGTATTTAATTAACTTTTATTGAAAATCAAGTAAAGTATTCATGCTACAGAAACCATGGCTTGATATTGATCATTGAAAAAGAAAACTCTGATCAAAGATAATACGTAAAGCTTTTTTTTTTAATTGTAGTTGTTGTGTTCCTTTACATCAAAGATGAAGAACTAGATGATAACAATGTGTCTGTTGTGTCCTCTTTTTTTTAGCATTCAGATGTCCACAATGTATAAATTGAAACATATAAAATATTATTCTGGGTTACTCTCTTATAGCAAATTAGAAATAAAATAAAATTGAAAATGGAAACTTAAATACACATACTAGTTGAATTTCTTGATTTTTTTTGTTTTCCTTGAAACATCAATATATATTATCCATATATTTTCTTTTGTAATATAACAAACAAATTTCTGAAAAGCATTTTACTAGAGTTGTTAACATTTTGTTTTTTAGTATCACAGTTTGTATAACAATGTTTTATTATCCCATGGTTATCAAGGTACTTTTACTTTCTAGTTTCCATCTGATCCATTTGGAACCGATCCATTCAATCCCACCCGAGTTGCACCTCCTCGGCCAGAAAGTCCTACCCCAGCACTCCCACCTAAGAAAAGTAAAGCCCCACCTCCAAGACCTGCTCCACCAAAACATTTTGGTGGAGGAGGAAAATCAGGTCCAACTCGAGCAGCGCCTGCCCCACCGCTACCACCTTCTGTACATGACCCTTTCATAGCTGGTTCAGCAAAGTCTTTTTCATCCAACTCTACCAAAATACCCGTACAGACTTTTCAAATAAAAGCATCTTCTCAAGATGCTTTTGAATCTGCTTTTGAAAGCAGTCAATTATCAGAAAGATCTAATGGTGGTGGCCAAGGTGGTTTTGATCCTTTTGGAACATCAGGAATAAATGATCCTTTTGCATCTTCAAATTTCTCCCACCAGGACTTTGCCAACTTTTCAGATTTCGAAAAGTTGAACTAATCTTATTTGCTGTGCACACTTTAAATAAGCAAAAGGTATATAAAGGTGGTATTCAAAGGGAGTGCACGTATCACCATCTTTTTTCTTAGTTGTTGTTATTACTGATTTATTTTGTCATTTGCATTAGCATCCTGTGTATTGCATGAAATTCTCAACTCATTTTAATAATCAAGTCATTGGTGCAATCAAGATACTTACATAACATTTATAACTTACATAATATTTATAACTTCATTAAATGTAATAGATATGGTGATAAGTATGCAACATTTTTACAACTGTGTATGAATGTATTGTAATTTATGTTAATACTGAATTTTTCTTTATCTCATTTCCACTTACTAAACAGTTATTACTTCTTGTGTAACTGTAGTATAAAAATTTCCCTTTTGTTGTAAAATATCTGTATATTGTCGAATATTGCAATGTTAACTTTGGGTTTTTTGTTAAGCATATTTACACTTTTTATAAGAACCATTACATGTTGTGTTTTATTTTTATATGGTTTGATTCAGGTGTTTTTTGGACATATAATGACTTATTGTGGATCTGAGTTTTTATTAGTATTATTCATTTCTAAAATGTGTAATTTTTGTTTCTCTTGCACGGGTCTTATTTTTAATGGGTTACCAAGCAATACACATTTAGACATCCCTTGGACAATTTTCTAATTAAAAATAATAGAGATTTAAATTCCTCATAGAACTCTTTGTTGCCTTTATTAATGTGCTTATTCCTGTTGAGAATAATAATTAGATTAATAAACAAATATCAATATTCGTTTTGTTTTTAAAGTTTAAAGTGATATAATTTTTTCTTTAATAAATCTTTATGGAATATGAAGTAAGTAATAAAACATTAATGTAATTGTTACTGGACCTTTATCATCTGTTACTTCAGTCTTTGAAGAGTGTTAATACATCAAGTGCTTTAAGAAAATATAATCATGGCAGTTTACTCTTAAGGAAGTTGAATAGTTATGTGTATTAAACAGAAAATACCCCTCAAAATCATAAATCATTTGGGTCATTTACTAGTTTTATAGTAGATATTGTGCCAAATACGTTTTTAGTGTGGGCATTACCTGGCTAGCATGACTACTGCGAAGAGGAAATTTGATTATAATGAGGTTGAGAGAATTGTATATCTTTCCTCCTGGAAGTATATACTTAACAAAAGAAAGGAAAAATAAACACGTGGCTACAAGATAATTGTTGAAAAAATTGTCTTTAAAGTTACCCTACCTCTTGTGTGTCTAATAAGGTTCCGAACGTTAGATGCATATGTGTGCATGAATGTGTTAAAAATGAGTATAGGTTTATTACACATTTTACTACACAACATCTTGAGTGAGTGCTCTTCAGTAGTTATACGACTTACGTAAAAAAAGTGTTATATTCTTAATATTTCTTGCTAAGCACACACTTAATGTACGTGTAGTTAAAATAAACAAACAGCATTTTTTTGTTTCCAGTAGAAAAGAATTATGCTTAACAAAAAATCAGTGTGTGTGTAACTTATTATTTTGGTTTAAACCTTTAAGCGCATGTTTCAAAATGTGGTTGATGGAAGTATGTTTAATTTGCCCAAGTTATACTTTGGAAAGATTTTTTTTACATTTTAAGTATTGTATTAATAGCTCTTTTTTTTGAAATACCATTAACAAATAGTAGAATTATTTACAATTACATGACAGAAAATGTTGGATGTCTCCCTTATGTTGACTGCAGACTGTATTAAAAGCACTCAAAGTTACATTATACCTTAAAACACTGTACCTCTCCGAGGCTTTAGAGCCATTTTTGCTTTACAATACGACTTGTAACTAAGTGATACTTTCAGGTGGTGGTTGAAAACTTTGCATGTGGTTTACTACTAATTCTGTCTTTCAAAAAAATGTTTGATGATGCATGTCTTTATGAGAATAAGAAAACTAGTTGTAATTAGATTTCACCATCTCAAGTAAGTTAATAAAGTTTGTTCCTCATAACTTGCAGTTATTGGGTATGCCATAAGCTCATTTGTGTTAAAAGCAATACATTCATATTTAGAATTCCACTGATTTTTGCCTTCCTAGTAGATTTAGGCATTACGGTTGCCTAACTTCACCACATTGATAAAAAGAACTGCTACAATCATTTAAAACAAATCAGTAATGTGAAGTTCATGATTCCATAATATCTGAAGTTTTAAAACTTGAAATCAATTTATTCATTATAATAAAGCTTCCTACTATTTCAATTTCATACAACCAATTGTAAGAGAATAACTATTTTTAATTTGAAAATTGGTGGCATTATTATTGTAATGAATTTTTAATACTTAAATTCTTATCAACCAAATACAAAAAAATAAACTTGGATGTCATGTGAAATCGTAATCATTTGAAATTGTTATCTGCATGACAATCAGTTAACCTCTTACAGTACATATTATGTAAACAACTGAATCGTGAAAGGCCAAAAGATTGCCCGACTTATAAACATTGCCTCTGTTAAAATGATAACCCCTTACAGTACATATTATGTAAACAACTGAATCGTGAAAGGCCAAAAGATTGCCCGACTTATAAACATTGCCTCTGTTAAAATGATAACCCCTTACAGTACATATTATGTAAACAACTGAATCATGAAAGGCTAAGAGATTGCCTGACATATAAACATTGTCTTTGTTAAAATGAATAATGTATACAGGTGTGAATGTCTTAAACATTTTATGTGACTACTTAGTAAGGTGCACGGTGGGTATGATTTTTAAAGCTGTTTTATAGTAATAATAATAAACATGTACTTTATTTAATATTTATAATTTGGTATAAAATTTCCATGCCAGTACTTGGTACTGCCGCTAAAATTATTTGTTATAACCGTGTGCTGATTGAAATTCACCTCTGGATATATACTATTATACATATGCATATGTACAGAAGATAGGACATGTTTTTTTGTGTAGCAGTAGTGTTAATCAGTAAGTGCTGGTTCTCATTGAATTTCAAGATATGTTTAGAAGTTCTTCATTATCATGTATAAACTGGTTTGTCACAAGTGACACTATTAGTGATTGGCTTAACAACTTCTAATCTTTTACGAGTCTTGTGTGAGTATCACAAGTTTGAGGTTTCTAATTATATATGTGATTATGAATATTGAAACAAGAAAGTAAAAAAATAATAATTCATTATAGTCACTTTCAAACACAGACTACTTGGTTAATGCAAATTATTAAGTCCAGAAAATCATATAATTTCAATAAAAAATATTGTTTGCTCTTAGTGACTCGTATGCAGAGCAAGCGGTTTTGAACCTGATTCTTTTTGCTTCACTATTTATCCAAATCTCATATAAATATACAAGTTTTCTGATTTCATTTCTTCTTGGGAACTTGGATTCACATTGTTACTAAAGAAAATCACATTTCGTAGTATTTCTGGCTGAATGTTGAGAAAAAGTTCAAAGCTTCAAGGAGTAAAACTTAGCTTTATTGTGTAATATTTTTATAAACTAGTAGCTCACATTCCATTTTATTTTTGTTGTTCGTGATTTTAACCTTCCAAAGATCATTTTGTATAGGAGCGACTTGTTTTGCATTGTTTACTTATGTTTAAGGTTTTCATTTTAATTGTTGTTATACATGTTATTTAATTATGTGGTTGATTTTAATTTTATAGCCTAAGTGATTATTGTTTTTACAAGTAGTTGATACTTTTTACTAATTTGAGATAAATGACATTCCACTCTCTGATTTGTGTTCATTTACTGGTGTGTGTATATATATTGGTATGGATGTTATTGATCAGGTTAAGACAAAGACAATACATGTACCAGAGAGAGAAAATTGATTCCACTCAATCTCTCCGAAAGGCTCAGTTTTCTTTCGTTTATGTTTTTTTTTAGATATTATTTTTTTATAATTTATATTTTTCATTACATTTGTGAAGTGAAAAAAGGGATGCTCTTCTTAACACCTCAAGAACAAAATGAAAAGCTTTCTATATGTCGTTTCACAGATTGCATTGCAAATGGAAATATGGCATCAGCGGTGAAAGTATGTCCCTGCAAATGTGGGGGGTGGGGCAATTTTTTTTTTCAATACATGTTTGTGACTTCCTCTTACATTATTCACAGTTGCTATTGAAGCTGTGAATATGTAAATGCATGATCAGCTTTTTCTTGTGTGTTACCCATATTGTGATTTTATTATATTCAATCTTTAGATAAATACAGGTTTGTTTTATCTTTATGAGATGCTTTGAATCAATAAATTCAAGTCTGTATCTTTTTGCCCCAAATAAAGTAGTTAATGTTTACTTGTAACAGTGTGTTCCACAAATATGGATATAGTGACACTTGGAAAAATAGTGTTCTCATTTAGTGCCCATTCTGATTAATCAAAAATTGTCCATGAACATTATAAAAAAAATTAAATTATACTACATCTTATAACACAAATGCTGACTTTTCAGATCTTCAGGTATTTTATAGCTTTTTCCAGAACATGTCTTATCACAAAGGGAACAGATTCAATCGACAAAGCAACTTACAGTAACAAGTAATTTTGATAAAACAGATGTTTCTTAACTCACCCAGTTTTGTTAATGTATCTTGTGTCAACTATGAAAATGCAGTAATTAAGAATAAGTGTTGTGTTTTGAATATTATACCAGTTTTGGTGGAATACAATTTTTCTAGTCAGTCCAAGATCTAAATTGATCCTTCTGTATTTACTATTCAGAAATGTGACCATGTACATGTATAGTACATAAATTATAACTTAACACAAGCTCTGTGTTGGTAGAATATTGCAGTATGTCTTGATTGTACAATTTTTCTTTGTACATCTATGTCTAGACCGTAAAATTTGGAATCTTTAGTTTTCTTATAGTCTGATTCCCACAGATGTTGTTTTTTCTTTCTCTTTACCAAAGTTTTATAATCTTAAGTTATTCTTAAAGAATAATTGTCCTTTTGCCTATAAGAGATATCAAGTGTTGAAAAAAAAAAAAAGATTAAACAGTCTAAGAACCTTGATATACAAATTCGAATTTAAAAAAAGATTCTTAATTGGTAAAAATTTGTAGACTTACTAAATTCATCCTTGTGCCAAATTGTACAGTAATACAGAACATCTATCAAACTGCAGATTTTCTATTGTTAACATCTGGAAAAATGGCATTCCACTGAATTAATACTTTTTATCAGCTTCAATTGGAATATGTTCCTGTGTGACCTTTATTTTGATTGATTTTGGTCTTGTTTTAGATACTCTTGCACTCTAGATTTTTCATGGTAAATAATGATTTAAAGTTCTTTAGTAATTTCTCTTCGGTGGTGTGTGTCAGCTACGTTGTTGGCCATAATACTAATATGCACTCCAATTCATGTGTTTAGTATAGTAGAATCCAGTTCATGTATATGTAATTGTGAGCTTGTGTGTCCTACAAATATGTGATCTTTAACTCTTATTACAAAAGAAAACAAATTATCAAGAGTATTGTATGTGTAACTTTTTTGTTGTTGTTCATTTATCATTTTAATTAGTGAAATTTTGTGAAGGTAAATACCATAGGATTTGAGAAGATATTCACTGTGTAGTCCTGATTCATAGGAAATGAAGTTTGAATGATGTTTCCATGAAAAATAAATATTATATTGTAGATGTTAAACCCTTCTGCTCATAATTTTTGTTATTACTTCAATAGATAGGTGTGACTGTTTACATGAATGTTACTGTTTAAGTTTGAAGAAATTCATTGTTGCATGGTTTGTAAGAAGAAATTAGCTTCAGAAAAGAAGCAATGGCTCTTATTTGCTGCAGTGCACAATTCTTGTTCTCAGTTTGAAATATTTGAACATTCGCATCAAATGCAAGTGTACTTAATACAGAATGTGAAATAATACAATTTATTGAGAAAATGTGGTTTGTTTTTCATTTATTTATTTTATTTTATTAATGCTATTATAGTCTACCACTAACCACTGATACAATAAATAATTATATATATATATATATATTAATTGTTTGTAAATAGTATATTACTAAAAACAAAGTTGGATTTCAGTGCGTTTCAACTCCTTTCATACTGCTAGACTATATTACTGTAAATATATATAAAAAAAACTTCTTTAACACATCTTTAAAAATACCTATATGACAATATTAATCCAAGATAACTTTTTGAGAATTAATATGATATATTAGTCTGTAAGTTATAAATACAGTTTTTCCTAGAGAATCAAACATGGTGCAGTTTTATAAATTACTTGTTTATGGATCAAGTTTGTGTAGTAATAAAGTAATGTTTGAAATAAAACATTACACATTCATTAATTTGGTGATTGAAAATCCCACTTCAGATGTTTATTCATAGAAATAAAGAACAAATGCAAAGATTATAATTAATAAATGGTTGAATCTTCCCCCCCCATGTTTGAAATATTGTAAAATCATCAGTTAATCTCAAGAAATGAAATTTTATAAATATATATATAATGAAAATTATAAAAACACAAAACTCCAATGTAACTGACTGAATTTATTAAATTAAATATGGTTTTGAAATAATTCAGTTACAATTTCATTTTCCCAAAAATAAATATTATCATTTAGTAAGGATAAAATTGGGAAATTTTAAGAAAAAAACATGTAGAATTTTAATGTTTAATAATATTAATAACATACGAAACAGTTTGGATCATTTGACACTTAAATATAGGTAGTGTATTTCATTTCCAATTTTTTGTACACCATCGTCAAAACATGCTTTCTCTGTTAAACAAGTTTCTAACAAAACTGTGTAAGTCTCTCTTTTAGAACAACCAATTCCTGATAGTTTTCAAATTTGTAATTTACATGTTTATTACTGGACTTAAAGTTGCACTGGAATTCATAACACTAATTTTATCAAATATGTTTTACAGATAATAATGCATCTTAAAGTAGTAGCCTAATCTTTGTTTCCAACCTACCACCAATGGATGAAGTTGGTGACGTTACCTAAAATAAATAATTGGATACGTTTTTGTTTTTCCAAATTATATATATATTCAACCATTTCCGTGTGGATCAGTGGTAAGTATCCACAGTACTAAAATCCGAACGCTTATTCCCGGCGGTGGATACAGTGCAAATAGCCTTTTATGCAACTTTTCACTAATAGTAATAACAACAAACACATTTTATAGCATAGCAATTATATAATTATAGTCGTTTGTTGTTAAATAAAACGAATTTTAAACTTTTTCTAGCTGTAATGTAACCTAATAATATTTCAAGTGACTTAATACTCTTATAATCTCACACCTCAGAAACCGTGAAGAAATATTTTAGTATATGTAATTGTTAACATTTTTACCACTCGGCGTCGTTACTGAAAGTAATAAAGCTTAGTGACGTCTTATTCTGTACGTGGTTAAAATATCTCAAATTATTTGTATTTTGTTGAAAATTTACACATTTTTTTATTTCTTCGAAAGTGATTATTTTACTCTATTACATCTTTTGTTGTCAATAGTCCCACTTTTTAGCAATTTTCAATCTCAATCCTTGTGTTTCGCTAAATCTGTAAATGACGCTCTTTCTAGTGTTTGTCACCTGGTGGCTCAGCGATAAGTCTGAGGGCTAATAACGCCAAAAATCTGGTTTCGATACTCGCAGTGGGCAGAGCACACATAACTCATTATGTTGCTTCAAGCACAACAGCAAACAAAATATTTTTAGTACTTTATAATACTGATGAGATTTTTGAGTCCTTTTTTACTCACCATACAGTAACCTTAATTAAATTAGGTGAGTGAATAATGTTGTGACATTGCACCTAATTCATTATTCGATATTATACAGCGGACCAACTGTTTAAAAGAATATATGTATATCTTAAAATATTTCATTTCTTTTTCAATGAAGGCACCTACATCACAGATTCTATTTTCAATTTTACTTCTTAGTGCTTTGTTCTGTAAACATACTGAGTTATTAATGATGACCAGTAACCACGAATACATTACTTCATAATTTGTAATCACGAGGTAAGAGGAGAAGGGAAAGTTAAACTTATATCTCATATTTATATAACTCATATTAGTTGATTACAATTTACACCGACGTAAAAACCATGAAATATATTTTTAGTAAATCAAGAAAAGGGTTTGTTGACGAAGTACTAAATAATTTTTTCGTCTCGTAATTTATTACCGCTGTAAACAATTATCAGCGTAATTGATTATTGGTTAGTGTTATAATGTTAGGTCAAAGATTAGTACGTTTTAATTACACATTTGAGTGTGAACATTTAATTAAAGTTCAATAAACTAAATTACGAGTAAAAGTGCAGTAGCTGTGTCCTGATTGTTTAATCCAGGTTTCATTTGAAGGATTAGAAACGTCTCCTTCACCTGTAGCATAGTCAATTTATTAATTACTTTGAACATACTGAGGACTGAGACCCACATCACGTTCACTTGATACATGCCGAATAATGATTGAATTGTCCTTGAACTTAAGATTAAAATATTCCTTTAAAAGATCCCCCAGTCTTATAACATTTTTATTCGACGTTAGCGCCCTCACACGTTTGGCAGCAGAATTCATAAATGCCACGTAACTGCTGAGAAAACTGGATACGATATTTAAACCTGAAAAAAATCTGAATTCTCAATAAAGGTCTGAACACATATTGAAGATGAACTTGTGGATATAGACTTTGTTGATTATGGTGTTTAGTTTCTTCTTCAAGATTCGAGAGTGTGAGTCTGTGTACGGTAGAGAGAGAATTACCTGTAGCTTCGGGACGTTATAGTTCAGGGACCTTGGCAAATGTAGTTATTGAAAGGTTTTATTGATGACAAAATCAATAAAGTAGTTCGGAAAAAAAGTTAAGTTTTAAAA